ATGAATACAAGCACAATCTGGCTAATGCAATATCCTAATTGAGAATTATTATTAACTCTCTTTAACTGTAACAGTTCACATTCATATGCAAGTATTATAAACATCCATGCAAAATCAATAAATACTTACAAGCGATGCTGTTGCAAGGTTTGAGATTACAGAAATATGTGACGATTAACGAGAGCCATGGTTACTGCTGCCCATGGAGCACTCACTACTTCCTGGTTCACGCATACCAGAATTCGCAGAATTAAAGAAATGTCAAACTTGCCACTAGGTGGAGCTCTAAACCATACATAAAGTGAACAGAAAATTTAAAGCAATGAATAACATTAAATAATCACAGGCTTATAACAAATAAATCTGTTATCAAATTAAACAAAATATGAAATATTTTACAACAAACTTGTTCCAACACAGTAACAAACAAGGAATCAATACCGAGAAGGCTGAGAAAGCCCGACTGGACAGTGTTTACTGTTGGCCCAGTTAGTGGATGAACAGAAGGCCATCCTTTTCTGCAACACATTTCTTCTCCCTCTTCGTCTTTCTGCCATTTTCTCCTCTGCTAAAGAAACTCTCAAGCCTCTTTAAAAAGTCCTCAGCCGTACTCCTAACAATTTTGACCGTAAGACCTCTTTTAAGGGTTAGGATGCTTTCTGAATTACTTTTTTCTTTCCTTGGATTTTTTCTTTAATTTTAAGAGTAAATGCCCACATTTCTAAGAATTTTCTTAGAGTTTTGTCACTAGTAGCTACCCTTGCATTAAGATTCTTTATGAATATGGGCCATTATCTTTCATATTATTATTATTATTATTATTCAGATTTTTCTATTTTTCTCCAAAATAGCTGATCACATAATGGTAAGTATTTGAAAAAATCCTTTAAATGCAGTTAAATCCATAAATTGCTTTTGAATGAATCGAAAGCCCATGAATGATGAATGAAATCAGGTCTCATAAGAGGACGAGCTGGAATATTTCCTCACACACTGATTCTGCCAATCCTCTGCTCATGAAAGCGTGAGTTTAGAGGAGCTTCTGTTATGAACGCTTCTGTTTTCTTCTCATGCGTTCTCTCAGGATCCGCTGAACTCTGGAGATGACGTGAGTGATCAAGATATCCCAGAGGTCTTTGACACAGAGAATGTCATCGTTTGCCAGTATGATAAGGTAAAAACTACAGAGGAACTATTTGGAGGGATTTTAAAAAGTTGAAAATCATACTGGATAAAGATGATGGCTATGTATAAGCTGGCGTCCTTTGAATGATTCTTTACTGTTATGGGTTCATAGATTGGGTTGTCCAAAATAAAAAAAACCTGTAGAATTATACTGCCCTACAAAGCAAAAAGGCAGTAACTACGCAGAGTGCAGAACTGACAAAAATGACTTTTACTAGGGCTTTTTGCAGTTACTGTACAAACGACTACCATTTTTCTCTAAAACGACACGCATTTAAGATAAGATGTTTTGTCACATAACAAAGGATGCCTTGAATGTCATGAAAATTGTAATAATTAATGCTTTACCAAAACTGCAGTTACTGCCTTTTTGCTTTGTAGGGCAGTATAAGTGTTGAGTATTAGATCTAAATGTACAGTAGCGTTCAGAAGATGAGATCACTATGTAATCAAAGTCCGTCTTAATTTTGCACAATCTTGGTAAAAACAATAAAAAACAAGACTTTTTATAATTCTGCAAATAGGGCTTCACTGAAACATGTTTTTAATTCACTGATCTGATTCTGATACCCGAATTCTACACATCGGCTAGGGTTAGGTTTAGGGTAAGCGCATCGGTTGTCAGTTTTGACTGATTTTGCTTACGGAAATTGTTCAAAAAACAGCAGAACAGTTGAACGACAAGTCCAGAGTTTCAAGTGTCGTTCTTAAATGGTTCAGTGTTTTTTAATGAATCGGGAGAATCAAAATGATTCAATGACATGTTTAAAAAGTGGTCACTTGCTTTTTGAACAGTTTGAACGAATCGGTTTAATGAATGATTCTGTTGTTCACATATACATTTTTCCGCCACCTACCGCAGGTTTAGTTTCATAAAGCATTGCTTAATTTTTCCAACAATTCTGTATTAAAAATGTTATATTTAAAACTTTAGTTTCATTAAATTATTGATTAAATGAATGCACTGTAAATGTATTTTGTTAATTAGTAAGATAGATTTTGTTGATTCTGATTTCATTGGATTGGTAACAGCCCTACAGTGGATATTGAAATCAAAACTAACTTTAGCTGGACAATAACTTTATTCTAGAGCTTCTGCAAACAATCTCTGTTACTGTAATCTCCTATCTCCAGTTATCACTGTAAAGCTGCTTTGAAAGAATCTACATTGTTAAGTACTGCATAAAGGAAGGTGACTTGATTTTTAAATTAAATCAATCTTTATAAAGTTACAAAAGGTATTAAGTCAAGAGCAGTGAGTGATATCTTTGTCCTCTGTTTGATAAGCATTGAAACAGAGCATCAGGTTATTAGACTGCTGTCACTTTAAGACTAAATGCACAGGTCCAATATAAATACTGTCTACGTTCATTTGAGATATAATTGACTTAATTGACTAATATAATTGACTTAATTGACGTTTACTAGATATTTGCGTAAAAAGGTGTTTTTTCATAATTTGAAGAGTATTCACTTCAGTATTATTGTGCTGTCTGTGGCAGCTCCATATACCACAATGCAACACGGTTGTCATGTCACCGTTTAATTTAGCACCACTGCGAACAACTCTGATATAAGGGTTATTATTTTTTACATTTAAAACACCAACACACCTTTGCTGCAGGGCAAATTGTGAAATATAAATTAACTCCATAGCGGACACTACTGAGGGGGCGAGACTACTGAGGGTGCAAGGAGACTGAGGGGGAGACTGAGGGTGCAAGACTACTGAGGGGGCGAGGAGACTGATGGGGCGAGACTACTGAGAGGGCGAGGAGACTGAGGGGCGAGGAGACTGAGGGGGCGAGGAGACTGAGGGGGCGAGGAGACTGAGGGGCGAGGAGACTGAGGGGGCGAGGAGACTGAGGGGGCGAGGAGACTGAGGGGGCGAGGAGACTGTGGGGGCGAGGAGACTGTGGGGGCGAGGAGACTGAGGAGCGAGGAGACTGAGGGGGCGAGGAGACTGAGGGGGCGAGGAGACTGAGGGGGCGAGGAGACTGAGGGGCGAGGAGACTGAGGGGGCGAGGAGACTGAGGGGGCGAGGAGACTGAGGGGGCGAGGAGACTGAGGGGGCGAGGAGACTGAGGAGACTGAGAGGGCGAGGAGACTGAGGGAGCGAGGAGACTGAGGGGGCGAGGAGACTGAGGGGGCGAGGAGACTGAGGAGGCGAGGAGACTGAGGGGGCGAGGAGACTAAGGGTGTGAGACTACTGAGAGGGCGAGGAGACTGAGGGGGCGAGGAGACTGAGGAGGCGAGGAGACTGAGGGGGCGAGGAGACTGAGGGGGAGACTGAGGGTGCAAGACTACTGAGGGGGCGAGGAGACAGGGGGCGAGGAGACTGAGGGGGCGAGGAGACTGAGGGGGCGAGACTACTGAGGGGGCGAGGAGACTGAGGGGGCGAGGAGACTGAGGGGGCGAGGAGACTGAGGGAGCGAGGAGACTGAGGGGGCAAGGAGACTGAAGGGGCAAGGAGACTGAGGGGGCGAGGAGACTGAGGGGGCAAGGAGACTGAGGGGGCGAGGAGACTGAGGGGGCGAGGAGACTGAGGGTGTGACTACTGAGAGGGCGAGGAGACTGAGGGGGCGAGGAGACTGAGGGGGCGAGGGGGCGAGGAGACTGAGGGGGCGAGGAGACTGAGGGCGCAAGGAGACTGAGGGTGTGAGACTACTGAGAGGGCGAGGAGACTGAGGGGGCGAGGAGACTGAGGAGGCGAGGAGACTGAGGGGGCGAGGAGACTGAGGGGGCGAGGAGACTGAGGGTGTGAGACTACTGAGAGGGCGAGGAGACTGAGGAGGCGAGGAGACTGAGGGGGCGAGGAGACTGAGGGGGAGACTGAGGGTGCAAGACTACTGAGGGGCGAGGAGACAGGGGGCGAGGAGACTGAGGGGGCGAGGAGACTGAGGGGGCGAGGAGACTGAGGGGGCGAGACTACTGAGGGGCGAGGAGACTGAGGGGGCGAGGAGACTGAGGGTACAAGACTACTGAGGGGGCGAGGAGACTGAGGGGGCGAGGAGACTGAGGGGGCGAGACTACTGAGGGGGTGAGGAGACTGAGGGGGCGAGGAGACTGAGGGTGCAAGACTACTGAGGGGGCGAGGAGACTGAGGGGGCGAGACTACTGAGGGGGTGAGGAGACTGAGGGGGCGAGGAGACTGAGGGTGCAAGACTACTGAGGGGGCGAGGAGACTGAGGGGGCGAGGAGACTGAGGGGGCAAGGAGACTGAGGGGGCAAGGAGACTGAGGGGGCAAGGAGACTGAGGGGGCGAGGAGACTGAGGGTGTGAGACTACTGAGAGGGCGAGGAGACTGAGGGGGCGAGGAGACTGAGAGGGCGAGGAGACTGAGGGGGCGAGGAGACTGAGGGGGCGAGGAGACTGAGGGGGC